TGGTGGGAACCCCTCACAATGGGCACAGCAGGTGTTCAGACCTGGGAACTCAGCACAGGGATGGTGGGAACCCCTCACAATGGGCACAGCAGGTGTTCAGACCTGGGAACTCAGCACAGGGATGGTGGGAACCCCCTCATAATGGGCACTTTACAACATCAGGGGACCGAGTTTACAGTGAATAGTGAACCAGCAGTCTGATAATGACGGGCAGGTGAAGTGAATAACTTTGCCATCTGTATTACTGAAGAATGACCAGGAGAGGGCGCTCTTAGAATAAATTCGACATGGACTCTCTTCAATGCACATGATCGCAGGGATCGCGGCCGTGCTGGACTGCGGCAGAAAGAAAAGCCTGAAGAGGGCTTCTGGATATACCGAAACCCTGACTGTCATGCAGATCCTAAGATCCAATATTCTGACTGTCATACTTAGCCGAATATTTCAGGATTTCCTGAGCCCCTCGGACCTCACTGTGACCTGCGGGCTTGTCCAGGTCAGCAACTCAAAGAATGGCAGCCAGAGACAGCATGCGACATCGCATGCGATTCGCACAGGAACCGCACCGCATTCCTGTGCAAATCACATGCAAATTCTGTGCGGTGCGATTGGAGCCATACATTCAGGGACGGACTGATAACTCATGGGGGCACCGGGGCATTAGGAAATCATGGGGCCCCGGTGTTCTTGCCCACACTCAAACCACACTGAAAAAAGCCTATGAAACGGTACCAGGGGCATCTCATGGGGCCCCCTACTGACCCCGGGCCCTCGGGCAGTGCCCAAGTTTCCAAATGGTCAGTCCGCCCCTGGCTACATTATGTATGGCTCAAATCGCAGCGCATCCGAACCAAAAAGCTGCAGGACCCTTTTTTTGGTCCGCACTAGAATCGGATCGCATGGGTATTCACACCTATGCGATCCAATTCTGCACATCGCACCGCGTTTTGCGAACCGATTTTTGGGTGTTAATTTAACATGCACACCCGCAGCGGTTCCAATGAACGGGGTGCGATTGTGATGCTGTGCGGAATTCGCAGAGAAACTAGTGCGAATTCTGCACCGCATCAGTGTGAACCCGGGCTAACAGTCAAAGGTTGTGTACTTCTGTCCATCCAGTCCTACGATTTACACAGCACGGCTGTATCTGGCAGGGCAGGAGACCTGATTCTTCTCTGCTGCAGTTCAATAACACTTACAGATCCTGTTCTACCGACAGCCAGTGACTGGGCAGTGAACGGAGAAGCAGCAGACTGATGAGCTCATCTCCTTGCCACTTTGCTCTCTCCTACTATCAGCAAGCACTGCAGTAGAACTGACTGGCTCTTGTACCGCTTCTCTTTTCTGCAGTCTGAGCTCTGCTGTACAGGGACTGCGAGAGACTGATTTCAGGTCAAAGTCTAGTACTTCCACTGCCTGAATATAACAAAATATGAATCTAATGATACATTACCGATTACAGGGCTGGACTGGTTTGTCTTCTGCATCAGCCCGCAGGATCAGCTTTCATTTACCATCAGGAAGACAAGGTGGGCTGGGTATTGAATCTGTCAGCATTTTACAGGCTCATTCAGCAAATATTACTCCTGTCCATCAATAGCGCGTTGGAGTGCACTGCACCGCAGAGCAAGAAAATATAAAAATCGATTTTTTTTTAGTGCCCGTCTTTACAGCTCATTGGTATGAACTGCCACCATTAAAAAGGATGAAATCTTACCAGACGCTGAGCAACATAACCTAGTGCTGGCGCTGTGTAAAGTGCAGTAAAACCCAGAGCAGCCAATCAAAATCTACGGTCAACATTAGGCCCGTGTAAGATTGATTCTGACTGGTTGATGTTGGCAATTGCACTTCTTACATAGTTACATAGTTAGTCTGGCTGAAAAAGACAAAAGTCCATCCAGTTCAACCAAGAAGAAAAAAAAAAAAAGTTATAATCCTATACCAGTGATGGGGAACCTTTTTGATCCCGAGTGCCCAAAACTGCAACACAAAACCAACTTTTTTATTTCAAAGTGCCAACACTGCAATTAATCACTTGCCTACCGGGCAATTCTACCCCCTTCCTGCCCAGGACAATTTTCAGCTTTCAGTGCTGTTGCACTTGACAATGACAATTGTGCGGTCATGCAACACTCATTTTTTTCACACAAATGGAGCTTTTTTTGTGGTATTTAATCACCACTGGGTGTGTTTTATTTTTTGCACTATAAATGAAAAAAAGAGCAAAAAATTAAAAACATAAAAGGTTTTCTTTGCTTCTATTATAAAATTTTGCAAACAGGTAATATTTCTTCTTTGATGTGCGTTGGTGAGGCTGCACTGATAGGCAGCACTGATGGGCATTGATGAGGCGGCACAGATAGGTAGCACTGATGAGGCGGCACTGGTGAGCATTGATGAGGAGGCACTGATGATGCACTGATATGCGGCACACTGACTGATAGCACCAACTGGAGGCACTGACAGACGGCACTGATCGGTGGCACTGCTGGGCATCATTGATGGGTGGCACTGATGGGCGACACTGCTGGGCACTGACGGGCGACACTGCTGGGCAGCACCGACAGGCTATAGCATGGTTGGCAAGCAGTTAATCTCACCTCTGGCAGCGTCGGTGTGGTGGCTTCCAACCCAGCAGCTCATTCCCATCCACGCTGAACACATCGCCCCTGGCCCCGGAGCAGTGTGGGAGCCTCTTCCTCTCTTCCACGCCCATCCCCGGCTACATCACCCCTGGTGCCAGATCCGCATAGGAGCCGTTTCCTCTCGTCCACACCCACCCTGGCCCCAGAGACATGTGGGAGATGTAGTTTGATGGGGGTCCAGTGTGGACGAGATCTGGATGGCTGGTCAGTGTGCGTGGTCCGTGTGCGCTCATCTTCCTCTTCTTCCTGGCGTGCCCACTAAGATAGCTCTGCGTGCCATAGGTTCGCCATCACTGTCCTATACTCACAGTTGATCCAGAGGAAGGCAAAGAAACCAGCAAATCACGATCCAATTTGCTCCTGCTGGGGAAAAAAAATTCCTTCCCGATCCCCCCCCCCCCCCCCCCCCAATGCAATGCAAAGTCGTTCCTTTGCATAAAATAAGATTTTTGATGGGGGGGAAAGGGGGGAACCATTGAGGGGCACAAAGAAGTTATTTACTGTTGGGTTATATTGCTGCCTACAGGTGAATCTGGACATTGGCAATCCAAACAAATCTGTAGACTAGCCAAGGAGAACTTCTAGAAGTTTAAAGAGAATGATCCTTAAAGTGGTTGTAAAGGCTCAAGGTTTTTTACCTTCATGCATGAAGGTAGAAAACCTTCTGTGTGCAGCAGCTACCCCCCAGCCCCCTCAATACTTACCTGAGCCTCATCGAGATCCAGCGATGTGCATGACAGCCTCGGCTGTCCCAGGTCTCTGCCTCCTCACTGGCTGAGACAGCAAATGGGAGCCAATCTGTAAATGACAGCTAGTCAGCCAATGAGGAGGGTGGGGGCAAGCCATGGCTCCATGTGTGAATGGACACACGGAGAAGCGGGTGCCCCATAGCAAGCTGGTTGCAGGTAGCCTCCAGAATAGTCAGAGTTCCATGAAACCCTAGTTTATTCGAAAAGTTGTGAGGGGTTCCTAGAGCGGTTGCTAATTGACCTCCCACTGATGTACTCCCCAACAATGTAGTGGGTTTGAGTGAATTAAGGTAACACTAATGTCAGTTTTCAGAACAGCCATTCTCAACCAGAGTTCCATGAAACCTTAAGGTTCCTCTACAGGTTGCTAGGGGTTCCTTGATCTGTTCATTTACTTTTCATTGATGGTCCCTGCATGGTTCCAGGACCAACACCACCTGGCAGAGTAAATGGCATGGCCCCACTGACATGGGTTTGGGTGAATGAAGGCAACACTAACAAATTAGCCTCCAGAACAGTCAATCTCAACCAGAATTCCATGAGCCCTTAGAGTTCCTCCAGAGATTGCTAGGGGTTCCTTTAGGTATTGACTGACTTCCCATTGATGTTCCTTACATTGTTCCAGGACCAAAACCACCTGGCAGAGTCAATGGCATGGCCCTACTGACATGGGATTGGGTGAATTAAGGCCACACTGATGAGTTAGCCTCCAGAACAGTCAGAGTTCCATGAAACCCTAGTGTTATTCAAAAGGTTGTGAGGGGTTCTTAGAGCGGTTGCGGATTGACCTCCCACTGATGGTCCTGCATGGTTCCAAGACCAACACCACCTGGTGGAGTCAATGGCATGGTCCCAATGATCTTGGTAGCTACCTGTACAGGAGGGTTTTTCCCACTGACCACCAAAGTAAAGAGCATTTCACCCCCTGATTCCTAATGAACTGTTTTCACAAGACCGAGAAATTATTTCAAAGGTTTCTCCAGTATAAGAACGGATATAGAAATTCACCAGTATAAAAAAAAATTTGGCTGCACCAATGGAATTTGTATCCCAGATTTTCAACTCAAACTGTTCATGTTCTAAACACCATGTGAGGCCTGGGCCTTGGCCGTGAAGGGTTAATGTTCCGAATATCCCTCCCAGCCCCCCCCCCCACCACCACCATGTTCCCCCCCTGAGCCTGGACACTCTTGTGATTGTGTAATCAAGCGCATCACTCTGAGCGCAGCTCAAAAGAAAGAATTTGAAAGCCTTGCAAGTCCGCCCGAGCCAGCGGCCGTTGGAGGGTCTGCAGCGGAAGGGCGGCTCGGGTGTAGAGCCTGAGTATAATACTTTTTAAGAGGGATTAGATCTTTCAGGAAGGAGAAGTATTAGTGGTCAGGCCGGAGAGATAGAAATTGTTACGCTGGGATAAAGGAAGGAGGACAAGCCTCTTATCCAACCACTTAATAACAGGACCATAAAAGCAGCTCCGGATATCAACGGAATATCGGAAGCGCTTTGTCCGCAGACTTTCCGAAACAAAAAACCCACAAAAGGCTCCTGTGCAGTCCCGTGTGACCCCGTAAACGGACAGCTTAGAGCACGCATGATGGCTACTTACGGGGCTCTTAAGTATCTGCGTCACCCGCTTCTTCTGCTCCATCATGTTGAAGTCCTGTCGGAGGTCCGGAGACATGTTCCTCTCCCGCAGGTAGTTGGGGTCGTTCTCGTCGATGCGGTCGAAGTACCGCTCTTTGTGAGGCATGCTGGGAAGAGGAGGGGCCGTGATCACCCCTGGGCTGGATCCGGCACTCATGGTTCAGCTTGCAGCGGAGCTGGGTCTCACCTTGAAGAGAAGAGGAAACAGGTCAGCAGGGGTGCAGAGGAATCAGGTGCAGACACAAACCTGACTGCAGACACGCAGGGACCTCCGATGCAAACACACACCTGACTGCAGACTGCAGGGACCTCCGATGCCGACACCTGACTGCAGGCAGGGACCTCCGATGCAAACACACACACCTGACTGCAGACACGCAGGGACCTCCGATGCAGACACACTGACTGCAGACACGCAGGGACCTCCGATGCAAACACACACACCTGACTGCAGACACGCAGGGACCTCCGATGCAAACACACACACACCTGACTGCAGACACGCAGGGACCTCCGATGCAGACACACACACCTGACTGCAGACACGAAGGGACCTCCGATGCAAACACACAAACCTGACTGCAGACACGCAGGGACCTCCGATGCAGACACACACCTGACTGCAGACAGCAGGGACCTCCGATGCAGACACACACACACCTGACTGCAGACACGCAGGGACCACTCCGATGCAGAACACACACCTGACTGCAGACACGCAGGGACCTCCGATGCAGACACACACCTGACTGCAGACACGCAGGGACCTCCGATGCAGACACACACACCTGACTGCAGACACGCAGGGACCTCCGATGCAAACACACACACCTGACTGCAGACACGCAGGGACCTCCGACGCAGACACACACACACCTGACTGCAGACACGCAGGGACCTCCGATGCAGACACACATCTGACCGCAGACACGCAGAAACATCCGCTGCAGTCACACACCTGACCGCAGACACGCAGGGACCTCCGATGCAAACACACACCTGACCGCAGACACGCAGGGACCTCCGATGCAGACACACATCTGACCGCAGACACGCAGGGACCTCCGATGCAAACACACACCTGACCGCAGACACGCAGGGACCTTCGATGCAACACACACCTGACCGCAGACACGCAGGGACCTCCGATGCAGACACACATCTGACCGCAGACACGCAGAAACATCCGCTGCAGACATCTATGACCGCAGCTATTCACCTGACCACAGACATACCTGATCGCAGACGCACCTGATCGCAGACATTTGGAAACATTCGCTGCACACAGCTGACCGCAGACATCAGATGCAGACACACCTGACCACAAGCACGCAGACATCATATGCAGACAGACATATTATCAATGACATGAATTGTCAATACAGAGGAGTTAACACCCTAAGGCACACAGTTTCTTGCACTACCACAATTTGTAGGTTCTAAGAGATTGAGGGTTTTTAATTGCACTTTCTTCTTATCCAGAGTAGCAACCACCCCCCTCTTTCTTGCCCTGGTGTCACAGACACAGGAAACGACAATCTCCCCAATGGGGTCACAGAGAAATATTTGTAGTTCTTCCCCACTTTATCCAGAGCCTGGAATTGGGTTTTTCCATGAACCTGTCTTGGGGACAAATAATATGAGCCATAAAGGTGCCAACATACAGGTTTACCAGGACACCTCAGCCCCCCACAGCATATGAGATACCTGTAGACACACCTGAGGTTCAAAACGTGTGCCCGCCCCCTGCGACAATGCTCAGACGCCACGCTGTACCGCATTAGAAAGGCTTGACCCAGGATTTCTATATTCAGAAGCTCATGCTTATTGGGGGAGCTTTGATGGCCTGACTGGGGGGCCACAATGTCATTATACAGGTAAGTCGCAGCATATTATGGCACTAGCATTAGTATAGAAGGTAGGTTTAGGTAGGTAAACGTACTTTTAGTACAGGGGTTGGGAAAACTCACCTCCAGCTCTTTTAGAACTACAAGTCCCATGAGGCATTGAAAGGCTGACAGCCCTAGGCAATGACTGCAGGAGGCATGATGGGATTTGTAGTCTCACCACAGCTGGAGTGCCAAGCTTGAGATCCTGCGGCTCATGTGTTAATAGATTTTTTTTTTTACTTAACATGGGGGGTTATTTACTAAAACTGCATGGTGCAAAATCTGATGCAGCTCTGCACAGAAATCAATCAGCTTCCAGGATTTAGCCCTAGTTCACATCTGTGTGGGTGGTTACCCTGCGGATCTGCACAAAAATCTGTGCAGCCGCACCACCCGCACAGAAGAATGTGGACCCGCGGGTGGGTCCATTAATTCTAATGGCACGCCGCCCGCACTGGAAATCGCAGCCGCACTGGGAACCAAGGTTCCCGTGCAGGCTGCGGTTTCCAAAGAAGTGCAGGGGCTTCTTTCCTGCGTGTCCTGGGGCACGGGAGTCCATTCACATGATTGGGCTCTCGTGCCCACGCATAACGCGCACCGCAGGAACGCACCTGTATGAACCAGGGCTTATGCAGGCCATACATGGTTCGAATTCCAAACATTTTTTTGTCCGAAAATCAGAAACGTCGTTCACTCGGAAATCCGATGGTGCCATCATTGATTTCAAAAATCGGCCAACCAAGTCATAAAGTTCATCCCATATAACATGCAAAACTTCTGCTCCTTCCAGGTCACGGCTCATGCGCATTTTCTTTTCGGAAAAACGATCGTACAATTTGACCATCGTTGAGTCGAAAAACCGGTAGTTTTTTCACGAATTTTCCAACATGCCGATCACAGAAAAGGGGAGGAACCACGAAAATCAGCCAGTGCCATTCACCCACTAACAGAGCGAAAATCGGCTGATTATTCTTAGGCAGGGTTAGACTTACAACTCATGGGGCCCCTGGGCAATAGGGGATCATGGGGCCCGTGTCCTTGCCCACATTCAAAGCACACCAAAAAAAAAAAAACAAAAAAAAAAAAAAACCCGGGCCCTTGGGCAGTGCCAGAGTGCTCGAATGGTCAGCCTGCCCTGTTCTTAGGTACAATTGTTGGGCGAAAAATCGGTCGATTTTCAACCCATGTATGACCAGCCTTATTGTCAACGCTTAATTGAACAAGCTGACGTTGGAAGCTGATTGGCTCCCATGCACAGCTGCGCCAGATTCGGATTCTGAGTGCTTCATTTTTAGTAAATCTCCATGGAAAATGTTCTCAAATGACACCCATGTTCACCAACAATTTCATTTTTCACATACTCTGCGACGGCGAAAAAACAAAACAAAAAAGAAAAAGAAAAAAGACACTCATGCGATTTTTTCAGCAGCTGCTACAACCCAGTCAGTGTAAAGCTTCTGCCGACTTTTCCATTTATAAATACGCCATAAAGAGAATATATAGCGGGCCGCTCAAGGTCAGAGGGAAGATGATAGGACATGCTGCCCGGGGCCGTATATGTGCACGACGCACGCACACAGCGACTTCTCAGTGACAGATCGGCCTGCGGATCCCAGAGGACAGATGGCATGGCCCTCCCGCCGCGGGAATGAGCCTGAGATTTGTTGTGAAACCTGATCGGGTCACATGGTAGAGACGCCGGATTAACTGACAAGGAGCATTTTGTGACGTGTGCGCAACACAACCCATCCTTGTGTAAACGCATTGCCCACGGCCTTCGGCTGACACAGTGCGGCTTTGTGAACGCAAATAACACACGCCGCGCCTACAAACAACTTCTGATAGCAAAGCACGCCGTCTAAATATTTTACATTTAAAAACTTGCCACGTGCATGGCTGAAGGCGCAATCTGACCGCTTGGCCTGTTGCGTTTGCAACACCTCGATCATCTTAGCCCCCGTTCACATTTCATAGGAGTGTAGGCAGGAGATCTAGAGGCAGATTTTTTTTTTTTGCATTTTTTTGCGCATTTTACATAGCAGGAAGAATAATCGCGCATTTTTAACCCCATGACTTTTAAATGAGACTTTCTCGGGTGCTCCCAATAAAGTCTATAGGGCCAAAAATACGCAATTCTTCTCAAAATGATGTTGATGTACTCTATCAAGTGACAGGTGACAATGCTCATGTGTGAACAGGCCCATTGAGAGCAACAGGACTTTCCATCTCAAGCTTTGCTGCGCTTCAGAAAACTGCGCAACAAAATGTTCTGTTGTTAATGGGGGGGCTAAGGAGTTCAAGTGGTTGTAAAACCTTACATATACCCAGTGATGTGACTGGCCTCAGGTGATACACAGATGAAACAAATCCTCCCACATAAGTTGTACCTATTTATCATTATTATACAAGATGTATATAGCGCCAACAGTTTACGCAGCGCTCTACAACGTGAGGGCAGACAGTACAGTCACAATACAATTGAATACAGTGGGAATCAGAGGGCCCGGCTCATTAGAGCTTACAACCTAAGCAGAAGGGTCAAGTGATACAAAAAAGGTAATACTTGTGGGGGATGGGCCGATGAAGAAAATAAAATACAGTCGTTAGGTGGGGACCGGATAAGCCTCTCTGAAGAGAAAAAAAAGTTTTGATGGATCGTTTAAAAGTGGACAGAGTAGGAGATAGTTGGACAGCTTGGAGTAGGAAGTTCCAGAGGATGGGAGAGGCTTGGAAGAAGTCCTGGAGGAGAGCATGGGAGGAGGCAACAAGGGAACTAGAAAGCAGGAAGTCTTGGGAGGAACAAAGATTTAGTTGGTATTTTGAGACCAGGTTAGTGATGTAGCTGGCAGCAGAGTTGTAGATGGCTTTGGTAGCTGCAACCATCTCTTCTCTACATCCGTTCAAAGTCCAGAATGTATACATCTTGCCTGAGCTTTCAGAAAGCAGGGCGCTGAAGTAACCCAGAGGTCAGTGAGAACTGATTGAAGGGGAAAAGGGGACCAAGGGGAAAAAAAGGGGGGGGACCAAGGGGAAAAAGGGAAAAAAAGGGGGACCAAAAAAAAAAAGGGGGAAAAAAAAAAAGGGGGACCAAGGGGGGGGAAAAAAAAAAGGGGGACCAAGGGGGGGGAAAAAAAAAAAAGGGGGACCAAGGGAAAAAAAGGGGGGACCAAAAGGGGGACCAAGGGAAAAAAAAAGGGGGACCAAGGGAAAAAAAAGGGGGACCAAGGGAAAAAAAAGGGGGACCAAGGGAAAAAAAAGGGGGACCAAG